GTCTCAAATTGTTCAACAGCAAGAATCCTTCTTCTTTTTTTTTTTTTTTTGGTCTTTTTGGGACAGGGTCTCTCTGTAGCCCCAGCTGTCCTGGAACTCACTATGTAGACCAGGCTGGCCTTGAACTCACAGAGATCCACCTGCCTCTGCCTCCCGAGTGCTGGGATTAAAGGCATGTGCTACCACGCCCAGCTCAGCAAGAATCCTTCTTACAAATATGATTATGACTATGTGAAAGGCACACAGAGAACACATTAATGCTGTGTGTCACACATTAATGAGTGACTACGTGAAGGACTCACAGAGAACATGAATACTGTGTTAGTGTGACTATGTGAAGGACACACAGAGAACATGTTAATGCTATGCTAGTCAGTGTGACTGTGTGAAGGACACACAGAGAACATGAATGCTGTGTTAAGTCACTGTGACTGTGTGATGGACACACAGTGAACATAAATGCTTGTTAGTCACTGTGACTGTGTGAAGGACACACGAGAACATGAATGTTGTATTAGTCAAAACTTTTTATAAGTCTGATTGTTTTCAAAGTTAAAATTTTGTTTTGTTTTGCTATTTGAGACAGAGTCCTCCTGTAACCCCAGCTGACCTGAAACTTGCTGTGTAGACCAGGCTGGCCTCCAGATGACAGAGATCTGCCTGTCTGCTGGGATTAAAAGCAAGTGCCACCATGCTCGGCCCCAAAGAAAAATTTTTAAAAATTTAAAACTTAGAACCCCAGATATATGTAGAGCATTTTTGGGGTATGTGGGGGGGGTAGTCTTTTTGAGACAGGGTTTCTCTGTAGATCCAGCTAGCCTGGAACTCACTATGTAGGTCAGGGTAACCTGATCTTACAGAGATCCTCTAGCCTCTGCCTCCTGAGTACTGGGATTAAAGGCATGGGCCACCCTGCCCAGCTAGAACTTTTGTTTTTATATATCAGTTAAAATGAACTTAAATTTAAAAAGCAATTATAAAAGTCTTTCAGCATATTTCACAATATATATACCAAAATGCATAAAAAAACTTAGAAATTCTTAGCAGGTCATGGTGGCACACACCTTTAGTCCCAGCACTCAGGAGGCAGGGGCAGGTGGATCTCTGTGAGTTCAAGGCCGGCCTGGTCTACATAGTGTCCAGGCCAGTTGGGACTACAGGGAGACCCTGTCTCAAATAATAAAAACTTAGAAATTCTCAAATGAAAAAAATGAAAAATATCACCATTTATCAACTAATGTAATTTACTGTTGCTTTTTAATGTGACCTTATAGATATTTATGCATATATGTATAAATGTATACTTCTATATATTCAAATGCTCCTATAAGGCAATTTCAAAATTAAATGAAATAATATTGTCAAACATGGAAAACCCTACAGTGACCATATACTTACAACATGTACAATTGACAAAAATTGGTATAAATAATATACATGTATATTTTAGATGCTGGTGTGAGGGGAACATATGTATGATGGGGCAATTTAAGAAAGAAAAGACAACCTTATCCGTAATTAGGGAATATAGATTAAGTCCATGTGATACTTACTCATTTTGGGTAGATTACCAAAAAGTACAAAGTAAAGAATAGCATAGATTGAGAGAATGTGGAAGGCAAGAGGACAAAGACTGGTCCAGCCACTTTGGAAACATCTCTGTAAGAGCTGTCTTGTACAGCTGAACATCTCTGGCCTGAGAAATGGTCAGAAGATAAAGGCACTTGCCCCAAAAGTCTGACCCAGGAACTCACTTTAAAAGTCAGAAGCCAGATGTGACGGCTAATCCTGGGTGTCAATTTGACTGGATCTGGGATTAACTGAAATGAGAGAGATCTTCTTAATTGGTTCATCTGAAGCTGGAAGATACACTCTAAATGGGAGTGTTACCTTCTGATGGCAGCTCGTATAAAAGGCCATGGCAGAGGAGAATGTTTTTGCTTTTTGCTGCTTCCCTTCTCTCTCTCACTGGTGAGTTCGTCTTGCTGCTGTAGACTGAAGACTAGCTGATCTTTTGGAATTCATCAGACCTTCAGCACCAGATTGGGACTACTGAGACATCCAGCCTCGTGGACTGAGCAACTACGGAGTCTCAGCTTCTCCAGTGTGGTGCAGCCATTGTTGGACTACTCGGACTCTATCTTATGAGCTAAGCTGATAAATCCTTATACATATATATTAATTCTACCGGTTCTGTTTCTTTGGAGAACACTGACTAATACACCAGATGTGGGGGCAAGACAGATAGCTCAGCAATTAAGAGCACTGGCTATTCTTGCAGAAGACTCAGGTTAGATTTCCAGCACCCACATGGCAACTAACAACTGTCTTTAACTCCAGTTCCAGGGGATCTGATGCCCTCTTCTGTCCTCCACAGGCATTGTATGACATGGGAGCACTTACATACATGTAGGCAATACACTCATATGCATAAAATGTAAATAATAAAGAAAATACTTTTTTAAAAAGTCAAATGTGGTGGTGTACATCTGGAACCCCAGCACTCCTACAGCAAGATGGGAAGCAGAGACTGGAGAACTGTCCAGAAGCCTGATGGCCAGCTAGCCTGGAGTATGCAGTGTGGTAAGAACAAGATACTGCCTCAACAAGGTGGAGAGATCTGACTTCCTAAAGTTGTTCTCTAACATTCACATGCATGACCTACCATGAACATGCATGCACACGCACACACACACACACACACACACACACACACACACACACACACACCAACTTTTAAAATGAAAAACACCTCTATATCCTCTGACCCAACAATGCATTTCCTAGGGTCAAATGGATTCAGTCATGTACTAGAGGTAATCAACAGTGCACTTAGGAGCCTTGTTTATAATTACCAGTCACAAAAGCTAGGTTTTGTGGCGCATTAGTTTATATAATTGGAGGAGGAGGCTTTTAAAGAAAAGGATGCGAGCTAGTGAAGGTGGTACATTCCAGTAATTCCAGTACTTGGGAGGTGGAGGCAGGAAGATCAGGAGTTCATACTCTGCTTTTTGAACAAAAGTTCCCAGAAAAATTGCATCTTGAAACTGAACATTCTGCAAAGGCTGATCAACTGATTAGAACTTCAATAATTATGGAGCGTTTGAAATGCTGCAGGTCTAGATCCTAATCACAATTTATCTTGGGCTATCTTTTTTTAAAAAATATTTTACTTATTTTTTACTTTGAATATGAGTGTATTGCCTGTATGTATGTGAGTGCAAGAGCAGTCAGTGCTCTTAACCCCTGAGCCCCTTAACCCTTCCAGCCCCTATCTTGGGCTATCTTTAGCCCCTTAACTAGCCACTCCTTGCCTGCCTTTGTTTCTGACTTAACATCCTGTGACTAACAGATAAAAAACCTTTGGAGTGTAAAAAGGTCACTAGCTTCCACTAACCAAAAGACTGAGTGTCATCAGACTGCATCTGAGGCCTATAGCTGAGATTTCTCTTTTGCTGTAACCACCTAAGTACTGTTTCCACCAATGTATTTGAAAAGTGTCAGCCGGGCTTGGTGGCACATGCCTTTAATTCCAGCACTCAGGTGGCAGAGGCAGGCGGATCTCTGTGAGTTCGAGGCCAGCCTGATCTATGTAGTGAGTTCCAGGCCAGCAGGGGATATAGGGAGACCCTGACTCAAAAAGAGGAAAGAAGTGGGGGGAGGGGGGGAAGAAAAGTGTCTTGATTTATGACTTCTTTGTTGTTACTATAAAAACTTCATGAAACTGTTACCTCATTGGAACACAGAATTTGGGGTAACCTGAATCTGTGTTCTGGGGCCATAGTCACTCGTATTTGGCTCCTGAATGAATTCTTAACCCCTTTGAGGTGACAGTTGCTCTTTTGCATTGACAGCTACATAGCAAGTCTGACTTAGACATGACTATTTCTCAGAAAAAAGTGAAATAAGAAAAGATAATAGAACTATGAATATACATTTAAGTTCAAAAGTATTTATAATGGGAAAAAGCAAACCACAAAACTCAGTTATTACAGGTTGTGCACTCAAAATCAGAAAATGTATACATTTAGTGAACTTTTCGACAAAAAAAATAATTTTATGCTCATAGCTGCTGTGGAACTCAATACATTCCTGACAGGAACAATTTTCCACTGGTCTGGTTAGTGAAGTGAATTTCTACTAGCACATTTAGCAACTTAAATAATCACAGAAAAAAATGTTGAGTAATACAAGCAAATCTGGTTAGGATATATATGTGTGTATATAGATATCTAAATATATATGGTATATGTCATTTTTATAAATTTCAAAAAGAAACAAAACATTGTTAGCCAAAAGGTATCTACTAAAAAGGGCAAGCAGAACACACCAACAAAGTTCAGGATCATTCTGACGGGGAAGAGGCAGAAATATATGCTAAATAATGGTAGGGTAGTGAAGTTAGATTTTAATGGTATGTTCACGCTTAACGTACCTGTTAAATTTTTGTGCGCAGCAAATGTTAGATGGAACTTGACACCCCAAATATCACAGCTTTCCTCCTTCCCCTTCCTTTATCCCCATCCCGCGTCAAGTATATGCTTCCTGAGACGTGTGTGGTGCCAGAGATGGGCCCAGCAGAGAACTGGCAACCCTCGGAAACAAGAACCGCGACTTTGGGGCTTTTATTTGGGGCAGAGCGGGGCGAGAAGGAGTGCAGTGTAGTGGGACTATTCGGTGTACCAAGCTCCCCGTAAGGGGCGAGCTCTGATTAGGGGGTTATTCTTATCAGAATGCTGATTAGGACTTTCACGTCCAGCCGAGCAAGGCCCAGCCCTTTTACACTCAAACTTCCCACTTTCCAGCTGTGCGAGGTCTCCTTGCCAACCTCCGGGGCGTCTTTCTGGTAAGTCCACGTTCTCAGCAGCTCACTCCATTACGTAACCTCTTCCTAAAAGATCCACACTTCAGCCCGCCCACGCCGCATAGGCGCTCAGGCCCCGCCTTAGCCCTGCAGCCGAAGGGGGCGTGGCCACCGGAGCCCCGCCTCCCGCCGCGCACAGCCACTGGGCCCCTCCCAAAACCCTGATCGGCGGATCTCGAGCTCCGCGGGGCCCACCCAGGTAGTGTCCGCGGAGCTGCCCGGGCGTAGCGGCAGGAAGCCCGGCTGGGAGCCTGGAAGGGGAGAGGCTCCGCGCGGGTGAGCGTGCGCTGCCCCTGCAGCTTGGGCCCCGGCTCTCCGGCTCTTGGTTCTGGGCCGGAGTGCGAGGCCCTCCGCCCGGCACCTCATCAGAGCCTGCGCGTAGTCGGAGCGTGCGCCTGGGCCGCGGAGCCGCGGGCGGGTGGGCGCGGCGGGGACGCGCGGGGTGAGGGCGGCGGTGAGGCGGGTGACGCCGCGGGGCGGGTTCCAGCGCCAGTGGAAGAAGGGCTCCAGGCCCGGCGCGAGCGGCCCCACCTCTTCCCGGTTTTCCAGACCCTCACAGCGCTTTTGGTGCCATTTGTTACAGAGAATGGAATCTGGCGACTTATGATTTTACTTCCTTTTTGAGAAAAATACTGGTATATTTCATTGCCCCCAAATTAGGTTAGGTGTTCTTTCCCACTAATTTTGTGAAAACATTTTTAATGTGTTCTGGAGGCAGAATGATTGGTTTCAAACTTTTCAGAATTGTGAACTTGAATAAATAAACTTGATCCCTAGGTGGCTGAGCTTCTTAATGTGTAAAGTGTGTGTGTATATACATATATGTGTATATATGCATATATGTGTATATATATATTTATTTCACGTATGGAACCCAGGCCCCTACATGCTAGGCAAGTGCACTATAATCATAGATATATCCATATATTTATTATTCTATCTGGTATTTATAATTTGTGTATGTGCTTTTATATGATTAAAAGTAGTACTGATGTAATTTTTCCACTTGTGAAGATTAGAAGAAACAGTAAACACAACGAGCACTCTGTTACTTATAAAAATAATAGCATTTTTCCCCCTGTTTGGTATATGGTTTTAATTTTCAGTATTAGAAGAATTGTGAAGTATCCAGTTTTGTGTAAAATGAAGTTGAAGGATTTGCTGTAGATTTCTACATCTGATAGTTGAAAGGGCAAGTGATCAGTAAACAGAAGTCAGCTGGGTGCACAGTGGCAGTGAGCAGTATATATGTTTCATGCTCCTCTGTGTGGAAAAGGACTTTCCTCCAGAGGAAATCACTTAAGAGGAAGAAAAGTTTGGTATATGTAGTGTCATGATGCATTCACTCTTGCTTTGAGGTAAAGCCATCAGACATGTAATCGTATGGTACTTTACATGTGAGCTTACTTGAGGGTACAATGTATCTTAACCATGCAATTTCCTCAACAGAATATTGAAGAATGTTTGTTCCAAGATCTTTGAAGATCAAGAGAAATTCTAATGATGACCTCAAAAGCTGTGTAGCTAAGAAAAGTAAGCCAGAAACAGAGGACCTTCAGTTGGACAAAGACAGAAAGGTTTCATTTGGTGCAGTAGATAGAAAAGAAGCCTCCACACTAGACAGGCCCAGCAGTGAAGCAAGCCCCTTTCCCAGTCTTGCTGGCCAGTTGGCTGAGGTTGGTTCGGTAGGACCAGAACAGTGTATGAAGGATAGCCATCTTTCTGAAGAGCCTGTGAAGTCATTTTCCAAAACCCAGCGCAGGGCAGAGCCTGGGGAACCGGTCTGTGTTGTCTGTGGTCGGTACGGAGAGTATATCTGTGATAAGACAGATGAAGATGTGTGTAGCTTGGAGTGCAAAGCAAAACATTTGCTGCAAGTCAAGGAAAAGGAAGAGATGTTAAAACTTAGCAGCCCACAGAAAGGTGCTTCTGAACCAGAGTCTCCACTGGATGCTGTTTACATCTACAGAGAGCACCCCTTTATTGTGAACCTTCAGGAGGACCAGATTGAAAATCTTAAACAGCAGCTAGGAATTTCAGTTCAAGGGCAAGAAGTCACCAGGCCCATTATTGACTTTGAGCATTGTGGTTTCCCTGAGACATTAAATCAGAACTTGAAGAAATCAGGCTACGAGGTGCCAACTCCCATCCAAATGCAGATGATTCCTGTGGGGCTTCTGGGAAGAGACATCCTGGCCAGTGCAGACACTGGCTCTGGAAAAACGGCTGCTTTTCTCCTTCCTGTTATCACCCGAACTTTATTTGAGGTAATTTATAGAGCTCACATGTATTCTCAGAAAATGATATAGTGTTTACCAAGCTCATCCTTAACTATGGTAAATTTGCAAGCTGCAACTGAATGTGAGTTTAGTCTCTGAAGTTCCTAATGGCATGTGTATGCAAAAGATAATGTTAGAGAGTATTTCTTTTATTATGTCGAGCCAAAGATCTCTTCCTTGAAGCTCTGAAAATTAATTTCCTTAAAAAACATTTTATTTTTAGGAGATAGTTTTTTTTTAAAATTTCATATGTATACAAGTATTGCCTGTGTGTAGGTAAGTGCACCCGTGTTGTGCAGTGCCTGAGGAGGACAGAAGAGGCTGTCAGATCCCCTGGAACTGGCATTATATTATGGACAGCTGTTAGCTGCCATGTGGGTGCTGCGATTAGAACCCAGGTCTTCCGCAAGAACAACCAGTGTTCTTAACTGCTGAGCCATCTCTCCAGCCCCACAGATTTTTTATTAAAAGAACAAACTTTTGATTTGGAGGAAAAATCTTGCTTACCAGATGGATGAGCTGCAGTTTATGTGTCAGCTAAGCCTTTTGGGATTTGAAGAAGCTAACTGCTGTATATTAAAATTATAATGCTATTTACCCTGTCAAAATGTACTATTAAATGTGACTCCTCATTCATCTTAAAGTAATATTGTGTTCCTCATGGCCTGGTGGCATAGGACTGGAATCCCAGCTCTCTAGAAGCTGAGGCAGGAGGATTAGGTTCTAGACCAGTCTGAGCTACATAGTAAGACCTTGTCTCAAACACAGCAAGACAAAAATACTAGGTAGCTTGTTAGTTTGTAGTATATAAAGCAACTTCACACACAATTTAACCAATATATTGCATATATGTTTTGTCTAGTACAAGCTGGGTGTCATCTGAAATGGTTGGAACCAGAAATATTTAAGATTTTGGAGGCTTTCCAATTTTAGACTATTTACATAGACTTTACTGCTGAACATGCCTAAACCAAAATACAGAGTGCTCTAGAATCTCACACTTGAACACCATGTTGGTGCGCAAAATGTTTTTTAAAGAGCATTTTGACTCAGACAGGCATTGGGGAGGCTCAACTTATTCTGGTGAGTTTATGAGCTTTGAATGCAGCAAGGAAAGAAGAACAGAAAATGTGGGCAAAGAAGGAAGATAAAGAGGAAATCTGGAGAACTAAAGAGTAGAAGATAATGTAAGGAGGGAAAAGGGGCTAGATGGTCAAAATACAGGTCAACCCTAGGAGACTCAGTAGAGCTAAAAAGAAGAAATGCCTGCGTGTGTGGATGCCTCTCATACACGTGAAATAAAGAATTGACTGTGAAAGTGCTGAGAGCGAATAATCAAAGGTACAGTGCCAAGCTTTGATGAGTCTTCATGGTGACTATGGATTTCCTCTTCTGAAGAGGATAACTAGAAATTGCAAGGTCCAGTCAACTAGGAACAAACCTTCAGTTTTCCCACTTTGCTACGGTAGACGCCCTGGCCCACTTTTGGTCTTCAAATGTATGTCTAGTTATGTAAGAACTCGGCTCAATTTATTATGGTTTTTGGAGAAAAGTCTGCATGCAGTGAGCCAAAGGCAGGAGATGCGGATCTGGAGCTGATGGGATACTTTTCCTGGTATCACTCTGAAGGGCATAGTTCATGTTGGCAGGCATTAATTATTGACCCCTTGTTTTTCTTACCTTTGCAGGACAAAACTCCATCCGCACTCATTCTTACGCCCACGAGAGAATTAGCCATTCAGATAGAGAGGCAAGCCAAAGAACTGATGAGTGGTCTGCCACGAATGAAGACCGTGCTTCTTGTGGGGGGCTTACCTTTGCCCCCACAGCTTTATCGCTTGCGACAGCATGTTAAGGTAAATACTCCTTTGAGAGATGGCCTTTGAAAGATATGTAAGCAACACAGGAATTAGTGTGGGGTGGTTCCCCTTGAAGATTAAATGTGATATTACATAGCTTTTATATTCCAACCTACTGAGTCTTAATTTTTCCCCCAAAGTTAATTTTATAGATGGGTATATTGGTTCACATCTGTAATCTCAGCCATCGGGGGCGATGAGGCAAGAATATCACTGAGAGTTTGAAGCCAATGTGACCTACATAGTGAGTTAAAACAAAATGTTCTTGGGACTGAAGAGATGGCTCAGTAGTTAAGAGCACTGGCTGCTCTTGAAGAGGACCGGGTTTATTCCCAGCACTCACATGGGAGCTAACAACCATCTATAACTCCAGTGGCAGGGGAATTCATCACCCTTTTCTGACCTCCATGGGCATTGTGGTTTATCTCACGTAATCATCACATTTGCTCTGAAGATGGGATTGTATATCCCATCTTTTATGATTGAGAAGGTAGAGCTCAGAATGCTGGGATTTAAATATTTGTAGCCCATAAATAATAGTTGCCAAAACTGGAACCTTACCTTAACTGACTGATTTTTCCTTCACTGTGCTGCTATGTGTTGTCTATATTCTCTGATAAACAAAAGTATGTGAAAGTAATGTGATATCATTGGGACTTGGTGACATTATGGTCATCGATAGCTTACTTTGGTAAGCTTCAGTTTCTTGAGTTAGGATGGTTGTACGTACGTGCCTCGAAAGTCAATTCAGTTTAATGAGAAGGTTGGCACAGAGGCTGGCCAGTTAAAGTTGTCTGTAGTGTAAGTGTACTAGCTAGGCCCTGGAGGTCCTCTGCTTTTTGGGGTATTACCTTTTTAGTTTCTGGATTGGCAGGGAAGTCCTGAAGTCCCAAGGGATGAGCTGAGATGCCAGTTGAGGGGGCATTGTGTTTAAAAGGGACAACAGTTACCAGCAGGTATAGAACTACTGCAGTATTCAGAAACTTCTGTATTGATCCCAGCCTTTCTTACAGGAATATAATCTCATCAAATGTGTTTGACAGATTTACAAGAAGTAAAAAATGTAATTGCAAGACATTGCAGATCGGTAATTAGTAGGGAATTGGATCATTGATTTCCTTTGTAGATCTTCACGCTGAAAATTTGTAAGTTCAGCAGTAGTGTCTATAGTCAACAATATATTTTGTGAACATTAAATTGGGTTAGTAAAGCTTGCTACAGTCTCAGATAGCATTGGATTTATTTTCATTGCATAGCATTGAAAACATGATGTACATAGATGTGTAGGTGTAAATTTTAAGTCTTTAAATGGATAATCTTGCAATTCCATTCTTTGTTTCTTCAGTTTTTCAAGACAAATTCTTATATCTAGCAGGGTGGCCTCAGACTCTAGATTCTCCCATTTCAGCTTCCTGAGTGCTGAAATTGGTCCATCATGCTGGCTGCATTTCCATTTACAGAAACAAAAAAGTTAATGCATTGGTGCATCTCCACTTTGCGATATTTAGTAACTTATCTGATCAGATGGAATGTTTTCGCATATTTTTAAAAATCTACTTAAACAAAAGAAACCAGTATAGTGTAAGAAACTTTTCTTTCGTGTTTCTTGGAAGTTGCTGGCTTAATGCCCCACCACTCCCATGTACTTCAGAGTGTGATTCCAACAAGCAAAGACATTATTATTAGTACATACAGTGCAGTTACAGAGTGAGAAAAGTAACGTCAACACATTAGAAATCAGAAATTAGCATATCATTCACACCTTGGACTCCATTTTTGTAACACACACACACACACACACACACCCTCCACCCCCAGCACAAAAATCTGATTCAAGCTGGATGTGATGGCAAATGCCTGTAATTCCAGCATTCTGATGACTGAGGCAGGAAGATTTAGATTTAGAGTTCAAGGCCATCCTGGGCTACATAGTGAAACCCTGTCTCAAAAAATAAACATGAATAAATAGATACATTAGGATCATATATTGTATTTAGGTATCATGTGTGGTGGTGAGTGTTGTCACCTGACATATTCTAGAATCACCTGAGAGTTGGGCTTCTGGACATACCCATTGGGGATTACCTTGATTACAATAATTGATTCAAGAAGACCCATATTAATTGTGGTGGCACCATTTCCTGGGAAGGGAATCCTGGACTGTATAAAATTGAAAAAGCAAGCTGAGCACTCATATGCATTTATTGCTGCCAGCTTTCCGATTGTAGATGTGATGTGACCAGCTGCCTCAAGCTCCTGGCACCTTGACTTCCCTGCCATGGAGGACCTGTGAGCCAGAACAAGCCCTTGAGCCCTGAAGTTGCTTTTGCCAGAGTTTTTGTTTGTTTTGTTTTAAGACAGAGTCTTTTTGTAGCTCCAGATGACCTGGACTAGGATATGTAGACCATCCCAGCCTCAATCTCACAGATACCCCCTTGCCTGGGATGAAAGGTGTGTGCCACCACACCGAACTTGTCAGGGTATTTTATTACAACAGGGAAAGAAGCTAAGACAGTATGTCTCAGTCATCTTCAGTTTGGGATGGTTCTTCAGTCTTTATGTTTTTTCATGAGCTTGATACTTTTGAGATTTACAAGTCATTTGTTTTTGTTGTTATTTCTTTTATTGATTTTTCTCTTTTTCTTTTTTAAGTTTTGTGTGTGTGAGAAAGTATGCCTGTGGTATATGTATGCGATGAATGTGCATGTGTATGTGCAGGTGTGTACTCCTATGCACTTTTAGAGATTAGAGGAGGATGTTGGGTGTCCTCTATCACTCTGACTTAATCTTTGAAACAGGATAGTTCACCAAATCTGGGGCTAGTCTGGCAGCCCAAAAGCCCAGAAGTCCCAGCTTTTTAGTGGATTCTTGGGATTTGAACTCAGATCCTCATGCTTCCACATCAAGTGCTCCTACCCACTGAACCATCTGCCCAACATGTTGTTGTTTTGAGATAGGTTCTCACTGTATAGCCTAGGATCTGGCCTCAGACTTGTAGAAGTCCTCCTACCTTACCATCTCAAGTTCTCAGATTACAGGTGTGCTCTACCATGCCCAGCTTACAAGCCACTTTGAACAAACATCTCAAATGATTAGCTTCAATAGTCTTTCTTTGACAGAAATATAGAGGAAGTACTTTGTTCTTTTCATTGCATCCTTTTGGGTAGCAAACTTCTTTACCTGGTTTCATGCATGCTAAGGAAACACTCTACCGCTCAGCTACACTATGACCTTGCAGACTATTATTAATTTATCTTTTTCTCGATGGCTTTATCAGTAATTTTTTTCCTTTTATGTGAAGTAATTTAGAAGAAATACTTTCAGTTATATAGACGTATGTTTCACCAGACTTTCTTTTCATTTATTATATCACTAAAGGTTATAGTCTCATATCACAATTTGTTTTGACCTGCTTTGACCAGTGGAAGCATCTTGAGTTGGTTTCTGTGACTTTTGGTCATATCTCGTCTTCTCTGAGTATTTACTCTCTAAAGAACATGGTCCCTGTTTGCCTTGTTCTTTCCCTGGCCAGTCCTGGAATCATGTCCTCCAAGGAGCCCTTAGTAGAGATCCACTTCAGGGATTACATAGATGTGCTTGTCTTTTTTCCCATTAATCCTTTAGATTCACCTTTCCATTTTATGTAGGACCGGACAGACCTCTCCTTTTATTGCTTATCATACGTACCACAATAGCATTTATTTTCTTTATTTCTTTCTTTAAATGACAGCTTTTCCAAGAGCAGGAGTTGTATGTGACTTAACTCATCATTGAAGTCTGAGCACTTAGCATAGTATCTAACGTATACTAGCTATTCATTAAAAATAGAATGAAAGGCCAGATATGGTGGGGACACATCTATAATCCCAGCACTCAGAAGGTAGAGGCAGGAGGATCACAAATTTGAGGCAAGCCTGGGGTACACCCTGTCTCAAAAAATAAACAAAAAGATAGAACAAATGAATAATATGATCTAATTTTTAATTTCTTCATTCTTTTATTCAGGTTATTATAGCAACCCCTGGACGACTTCTGGATATAATAAAACAGAACTCTGTAGCACTTAACAGCATAAAAATTGTCGTAGTAGATGAAGTAAGTATTGTGTGTAAAAAATATTAGGGGTCCTGGGGAGATGCAAAGCATGAGGGCCTGAGCTTAGATCCTCAACACTCATTATTTAATCTTTTAGGGTATAGTGAGGTTGAAGAACACTGAAAAAATTTTCTCATAGACTGAGAAGTCCAAAATATGGGAAAATATTGCTAAGTCCTTCGAAAGGTCTGCTAAGTCAGAGTTTTCATGGATAGCCTTTTGGTAGAACTGATTTTATTGCATTTGATTATTGACAGACTTATGGCCAGTATGACTGGGCTTCCCTTTGTTGGTAAGCCCATGTTCTTCAGTTCTCCCCCCTGAGGAATAATCCCTATATAGAACTAAAGTTAGGTTGTATGCATTCTCGTATTTCTTCACAGCATTTTCATTTTTGGCAATAATTAGGGCCTGTCATCCATGCCTACTATCATGGTACAAAAGAAGTATCCATCCAGCAAGCGTGTGTAGTGTCTGTTATGTGCAGCTCCTGACTAGGACTAGGTGCCTTGTCAGTTAAGGAATGTGATTTCTTTATAGCTTAGAAGGAAAATGAGCTGGCAAACAACCAGCTTATTTATACTGAAGTCAGCCTAGAAGTGATGTGTAGATACAGACTGACAAACTCTGGGTGTTTGGCTAGAATTCCAGAGACGTTTTGAGTACTATACACAGAGGTACTGAAATTTTGAGAAAAAAAGTCATACACATGAAATAAAGGCCAGAACATTATCCTACCCACTGAGATACAGAAGAACTCAAATAGGGGCAGGCAAGATGACTCAGTAGATAAAGGTGCTTTCTGCCAAACCTGATGACCTGAGTTCAGTCTCCAGAACCCACATGGTAGAAGGTGAGAACCAACTCCAACAAGTTGTACTCTCATACAAACACAATAAATAAATTAAACTTTTTTATTTTAAGAAGTAAGTACTCAGTCAAGCATGGTGGCGCATACCTTTAATCCTAGCACTCAGGAGACAGAGGCAGGCAGACCTCTGTGAGTTCAAAGCCAGCCTGGTCTACGTAATGAGTTCTAGACCAGCTGGTGCTACAGAGAAAATACCCCCAAAAAAAAGAGAGAGAGTAAATACTCAAATAGACAATGTAGGCACATTGGCACCTGCTTTCTTTTTCCTTTTTTTTTTCCCTCAACATTTTTAATCATGTGTAAGCATGTGTGCCTATGTGTATAAATGAGTGCAATGCCTGTGTAAGCCAAAGGAGGAGACCAGATCCCCTAGAGCTGAGTTCCAGGCAGTTGTGAGCTGCGTTATGTAGGTATTGAGAACTGACTTGGGCCCTCTGCAAGAGCAGTACACACTCTTAACACTGAGCCATCACTCCATCCTGCAAATGCTTTCTTTAAAGGAGTTAGGTGGTCACTATTACAGGCTTCAGGGGCCAGTATGCTCTTAATTAAAACTAATGCATACAACCATAGCAGGATGAAAGTAACTGGCATAAGCACAGTGGCACATACCTATAATCTACTTTAGTGGCAAAAACAGGAGAGGATGAGTATGAGCTCAAGACCAGCGTAGGCTATACAGCAAGACTATCTCTTAAAAACCAATAAAATTGAAAGAAATGAAAACCCGGATGTGGGGCTGGTGAGATAGCTTAGTCAGTAAGGACCTGAGTTTGAGTCCCCTGGATCCTTATTTAAAAAATAAAGCTAGGTGCAGTGACACACTCTTGTAATCCCAGTGCTAGAGAGGTGACACAGATGGATCTCGGGCTCAAAGGCCGCCAGTCGAGCCTATTTGGTGAGTTCCAAACCAATGAGAGACCCTGTCACAAAAGCCATGGGTGGTCCCTGAGGAATGCCACCCAAGGTTGGACCTCTGACCTTCACAAAGGTGTGTGTGCACATCTGCCCACACAGGGGTATCTATAGGAACACTACACACACACACCCAAAAAACCCCCAGGATTAGGTGCACATTCCTATAAACTGAGTGTTCAACCAGAGGCAGAAGCAGGAGGATCTCAAATTCAAGACCACTCTGAGTTACATAGTGATATTCTGACTCAAAACACAAAGAATGGGAACTAGAGAGGTAAGTCAGTGGTTAAGAGCACTTACTGTTCTTGCAGAGGACCTGGGTTTGGTTCCCAGCACACACATGGTGGCTCGCAACTGTCTGGGACACCACTTCCAAAGGATCCAATGCCCTCTTCTGGCCTTCGAGGGCACCAAGCACACATGTGCTGCACATACATGCATGCAGGCAACCACTCATACGCACAAAAGAAAAATAAATAATCTTTTGAAAAATACTAAGGATTGGGAGTATAACTGAATAGTAAAGTACTTGCCTATCATTTGCAAGGTGTTGGGTTCCATCCGCAGCACCATTGAAAACAAACAAAGGAAGTAGAAGAAGATGACTGGATATGACTGTTTCCACAAAACAGGTAAAGCTTGGAATTAGTTCTGAGAGCCATAGTTTGTCAACTAGTAGGGAAAGCTGTTAGTAAAATATAAGACTGTAGATATGCTAATTGTTCAGAAGGAGAAATGAGAGAGTAAATTCATTGGCACTTAACAAAAAGTCTTCTCAGAGGCAGTGGGATCTGAATTGCTCCAAAAATAATTTAGAAACTGGAGGACGTATCAAACATTCCAATGAAGAGAATAAGCAGAGTCGGAAAGCCCAAGTGTCTTACAGAGGGGAAGGAAAGAGACCAGCCAGCTTGAAGAATTCTTTCTGAGAAATAATAGGAAGTAGAGTTGGGTAGCTAGGGTGGGGTCAAATTATAGAGGACCCTGAAAGGGAGGCAGAGAAATCTGGATTTGATGTGGGAGACAATGAGGCTTTCTAAATTACGAGTTGGGGTGTAGCATTTTGAAAGTGGTGGTTTAGGGAGGTTATTCCTCTGCTCAGTACAAGAGAAATTAAAGAAGCACTGTGAGACAGAGCAGCCAGCAAGCTGACAAGGGGTGAAGGGTTCAGGGGCAGGGTGGAGGCGTTGGGACTGGAGGGTTAAATCTGAGAGTCACTGTAAAGTAATCATTTATGAGTCTTCTGCTGACTGCATATGAGGGGAGAAAGCAGCTGGCGAGGTGGCTCCCTAAATTATAGTTGTTATCTTTTACTTTTAGAAAAGGGTAAGTGGGTACATGTTGGGTCCTGGTAATACTATTTGAGTTTGGCTTTCGTGTAAATAATGGATGAAGGGGAAGAAGACTTTTCTCGATGCAGGAAAAGTGCATTGGAGTCCATGTGGTATCTGGTTTCTCTAAGATGAAAGTTGGATGGAAATGAGCAGAGAGACCAGGACTGAGGCTGAGGGCCTGGCATTGGGGTTTGGAAGCTGAGTTGTAACAGAGCACTCAGAGACAGAGGAACTGAGAATGGTGTCTCAGCCTGGGAAGGCAGGGACAGTCTCAGAGTTCTTCACTATGTAGCAGTTAGGAAGAGGGAGCAGCAAGATGGGGGTGGGGAGAAGTTTAGGCCTAAGAAGAAGTCTGACAGGAGACAGAAAGGTGACACTGAGTAGTTTTCAAATTCCAAGGAATTACCTGAGTGCTTGCCCTCCTCTAGAAGTGGCTTCTTTGCTCTATTCAACTGTGCACAGATTTTTATGTTTCCCTTATGTTGTATTCCTGGCTGTATCCTTATAACCAGGCATAGAATCTGCCCAACTTTGCCTAATGATAAGAATCACCTAGAGATCCCATTACTCAGTTGATGCTGGAGGGTGGGTTCAAAGCCAGCCTGGGCTACATGGAAATTTTATCTCCAAAAAACAACAACAAAAAAACCAAACAACACAGAATTTCCTGGCATGCTCAGTGGATGTAATATAAGACTGAACCTTTCACTTGGCTATTCAGTAGCCCAGGAATCCTTTTTAAAAAATATTTTATTTATGGCCAGGTGTGGTGGCGCACGCCTTTAATCCCAGCATTCGGGAGGCAGACGCAGGTGGATCCCTGTGAGTTCAAGGCCAGCCTGGTCTATATAGTGAGTTCCAGGACAGCTGGGGCTACAGGGAGACCCTGTCTCAAAAAAGGCCAAAAAAAATTTATTTATTATTTTTATTTTATGTGTATGAGGGTATTCGCCTGCATGTAGGTAAGTACATCCATGTCGTGCAGTGCCCACAGAGGACAGAAGAAGCCGTCGGATCCCCTAGAACTAGAGTTACGTACAGTTGTAAGCTGCCATGTGGGTGCTGGGATTCAAACCTGGGTCTTCTGCAAGAACAACCAATGTTCTTAACTGCTGAGCCATCTCTGCAGCCCCATCAGTAGCCCAAGAATCTTTAAGCACTCACCCCAGGCGACTGCTACTTTTTGAGAGGCTTGGGACACATTGACTGGTTTGTTGCCTGTTATAAAATTAGGGGCTTCTATAGTGCTTATAATTAAGAATGTTCATATATGGCCGGGCGTGGTGGTGCACGCCTTTAATCCCAGCACTCGGGAGGCAGAGGCAGGCGGATCTCTGAGTTCAGGGCCAGTCTGGTCTACATAGTGTGTTCCAGGACAGCTGGGGCTACAGGGAGACCCTGTCTCAAAAAGATTTAAAAAAAAAAAAAAAAAAGAATGTTCATATATTTATGAAATGGATGGAGTATATTTCCAGGGCTTTTGGCATGCCACATACTGTTGGTTTCAAGGAAGGCAATGCTGGTGAGTGTTCTGTCCCATAGAGCTGTGGTGATAATGGCAGAGTTATACTTAGAACTAACAGTATTCTTATATAATGTCCTTATAAGTTTAGGCCATTTGAGATTTGCTCTTATTCTTTTTCCTGGGTAGATACCTTGAAATGCAGCCCTGTAATGTTTTATCACTCAGTGATGTTTTATCACTGTAATACTTAAGCTCTGTGATGCTGTCTATACACCATGCCTAACTACTGATACAAATGTGAAACTAAGAAAATGGAAAATTTGCCAAATGACCTGATCCAATTATTCCAAGAAAAATGTAGATCAAATGTGTCAGATATCTAAACTTCTGCTGGTGGTATCTGCTTTTTTAA